CTACAAGCAGGTCAGCTGGTGGCCAGCGGTCCCCGGCCACTTCTTCACTTCCCCACGGCTGCCACTGAAGCAGGCAGCCCTGTGCCCTGTGCCTGGCTCTCTGTGTAGGGCATGGGGTGCGGGGACGGAACTCAGGCTCTGACGCTTGCAAGGCAAGGATTTACCACGCCAGCCCCTAGGCCCCTCAAAGCATTCAACACATTTTAAAATTATATTCATTTATTATATGTGTGCACACTTATCGTGGCACACATGTAGTCAGAGACTCAGGGGAATCCTCTCCTTCCACAGCTGTGAGTCCTAGGAAGTGAACTCAGGCTGTCAGCATATCTGCCTAGCCTGCTCTACAGTCCTCAAACCATATTCTTATTAAGAGAGAATTGGGCTGGGTGTTGGTGGCGCAAGTCTCCTAATCCCAGCACTTGGGAGGCAGAGGCAGGTGGATCTCTGTGAGTTCTAGGCCAGCCTGGTCTACAGAGCGAGTTCCAGGACAGGCTCCAAAACAATGCAGAGAAACTCTGTCTTGAAAAACAAAAACAAAACAAAAAGACAGAGAATTATAGTTTTTCTATTAAATGATTTCCCCAAGAGACTAAACTTTGAAGGCAAGACATGTACCTTTCTGCTTGGCATGAAGCTGACAATCAATGCATGAATGCTGGATTAGTACAGAAGAAAATACAAGAACATTTATGTCTTTATATTCAAAGTAATAACAGAACTTGTGGCATGCTGCCAACCATGCATAAGGAATAATGTCTATATTCACTAGGAGCCGTCAGAATCATTTGTGTCTAAAGTACTGGTTTCCACCACTATAAAATCACGTTTAATACCCTACCAACAGATTACCACTAACTGGACAAGACGGGGGTGGGGTGGGGTGGGGGGTGGGGGGGTTCAGACCTCGGGTGTTTGTTCTGCACTTGCACAGAAGAAGTCTGCCTTTTCGCTTAGCCTCGGAAGGGATTCTGTTTCATTCTCACTTTGTGGAACTCATTTTCCTGGCGTTTGTTTCCACCACCCCTCTTCGCCCGAGATGCAGTTTTCTGTGTCCAGATGGAAAGAAAAGCAAAAGTTCAAACAGCGGCCTTTAAAGAATAAAACTTTAGCTCTCTCTTGTTAAAGAGTTGGTGGGCACAGTATCATGGGGAAGCCACAATGCAGGACAGCCTGCAGGAATCAGGCAGAGTTGGGAGACCTCTTGTGGTCAGAGAAAACTGTTACAACTCAGGCACTGAACCCTGCCAGTTCCACACCCTTGGGCCCGGCCACACCAGGACCCATCACCCCTGAGTGAGCAAGCTCTTCTCTTGTTACTCAGCTCCGCCACTGCCCTGCCGTCTGGGGAAAGATCTGCTAGTGCTGGGAAAGGGACCGGGAGCTGCTAACCCTCTGCCATCAGCCTCTGCAGAGCATAGCTGAGAAGGCCGAGACTATCAGCCCTACCAGTGAGATGCGAGCGTGTGGGTAAACAGCTGACATTCCCTGTGGGCTGCTAAAATGTGGAGGCTGTAGAGACGATCCAGTTAATTATTTCCTGAAAAAATGTTGTCCACAAAGGCTGAGATATTTATCAGAGGATAAGAGGGTAAATCTCTTTGTGTATTTATAGAGGGCCAAGGAGGTGACTGAAATTTTAAAAAGATGCCCTACTTATAATTTCTCTGCAGTCTGTATCACTCTATTTATGTGTAAGTAAACACATATGAAAGTGAAAAATCTGTACACCAAATGTAATGCTCAGAAAAGAACCCCAAAGCGTTGAGAAGTATATAATATAATGAAAAAACATACAAAATACACACTTTAACAGCACCTTATTCTATCTCTGTAATTGAACTCATATACCCGTGTCTCATTTCAAAGACCTGACTCAACTGGTCTGGGCTGGGCCACGATACGCTGTGTTCTGAAGACCCTGAAGTGTTTAGGATGAGCAGCGCTGCTCTGAATATGCACACTCAGGGTCTTTCTGCAACTATCTGCATGCTTTGCATGCACTACTGGAAATCACAG